GTATCTCATTTGGTTTTGATTTACATCTCTCTGATTGCCAGTGATTTTGAGTATTTCGTCATATGATTTTGAGTATTTCTTCATATGTCTGCTGGCTATCTGAATTTCTTAAGTCTTTCCATGCCCATTTTATGATCAAGTTATCAGTCTGTTTCTTTTGGGGGCTCTGTAGGATTCTGTAAACTTTTGTTAAGAGGCTCTTGTCCGAGATGTCATTGCCAAATGTCGTTTCACAGTCAGCAGGTTTTCTTTTCACTCTGTTAGAAAAGTTTTCTGATGCGCACAAGGATTTAATCTTCGAACGATCTCATTGTCGATGTTAGCTTCTTCTGGATGTGCATTTCTGGCTGTGCTTGCCAGCTTATTTACACCATAGACTAGGTCTTCTAACTCTTCTTCCATTATGTCTCTTATGATCTTTATGATTTTAGTCTTTACCCCAGGTCTCTGATTCACCTTGAGTTAATCTTTGTATATGGTGTGAGAATGAGCATCCTGCTTCAGAGTTCTGCAGGTAGCAGTTCTGTTTTGCCAGCAGCATTTGTTGAAGAGATTGTTATTCTCCCATTTGATAGCTTTTGTTTCTTTGTCAAATACCAGATGACCATAGGTAGATGCCACAACTTGTCATGATCCATACAGTCAAATGTGTTTTCATAGTCAAAAAAGCACAAATAGACATTTTTCTGGTATTCCTTACTTTCAGCCAGGATCCATCTGACATTAGCAATGATATTCTTGGTCCCATGGCCTCTTCTAAATCCCGCTTGAACTTCTAGTAATTCCCTATCTGTGTACTTTTTGAGCCGTTTTTGAATGATCTTCAAAGTATTTTGCTTCCATGTGATAACAGTGATACTGTTTGATAATTTCCACATTAAATTGGATAACCCTTCTTGGGAATAGGAACAAATATGGACCTCTTCCAATCCATTGGCCAGACAGGAATTCTCCAGATTTTCTGGCATCGACTGGTGGGTGCATCCAAGGCTGCCTCTGTTAATTGAAACAAGTCAGTTGGTATCTCATCGATTCTTGGGGCCTTATTTTTTACCAATGCCTTCAATGCAGCTTCCTATTCCTCTTTCATTGCCATTGGCTCCTATTCATATGGTACTTCCTGAAATTTTTTAGTGGCAATCTGTTCTTTCTGGTACACTAATTCTGTGCATGCCAAGTTGTGGCTGACATAGAGAAGAAGAGTGGGAATCCCAGAGCCCTTGATTGTGCTCAAGAGGAACCTATACCTGGATCAGGAGGCTGTTGTAAGAATGGAGCAGGGGAGCACTACATGGCTTAGAACTGGAAGGGGAGTGTGTCATGGTTGTATTCTCTCTCCATACCTGTTCAATCTATATGCTGAGCAAATTATCTAAGGAGCTGGATTCTATGAAGAGGAATGTGATGTGGCAGCAGGATTGGAGGGAGACTTATCAATAACTTGCATTATGCAGATGACATAACCTTGCTTGCTGAAAGTGAGGAGGACTTGAAGCACTTATAGCAGAAGATCAAGAAATGCAGCCTTCTGTTTGGATTACATCTCCATATCAAGAAAACAACGATTCTTACCACTGGACCAATAGGTAGTATCATGATGGATAGAGAGGAGATTGAAACTGTCAACAACTTCATCTTGCTTGGATCCACAATTCACAACCTTGGTACGAGCAGTCAGAAAATAAGGAGATGCATTTCACTGGGAAAATCTGCAGTGAGGGACCTTTCCAAATTATTAGTGACATAACTATGAGGACTAAGGTGTGTCTGATTCTGGCCACAATCTTTCTGATTACTATGCATCCTAATAAGGATGACAGAAAAAGAATTGACACCTTTGAGTTGTGGTGTTGGAGGAAGAGCACTAAATATCCCATGGATGGCCAAGAGAACGAACAAATAAGTCTTGGAGAGGGTGCAGCCAGAGTGCTCTTTGGAGGCAAGAATGATCAGTCTTTGCCCCACATACTTTGGACATATTGCTAGGAGGTGTTATTCCTTGGAGAGGGACATGATGTTGGGAAGAGTGGAGGGTTACTGAAGGAGAGGAAAATCCTCAGCCAGGTAGATTGTTGCAGTGACTGCTGGAGTGGGCTCTTGTTTGTCAGGAAGTATGAGGATGGCGCAGGACAGGACTGGGTTCAGATCTTTTGTTCATAGGGTCGCTATATGTTACACTTCACTTGACAGCACCTCACAACAAACAACATAGCTAGATGGGTTAATTTATGGGTCCTTGATTTTGTTCCATTGGTCTATATTACGTTATTATACAAATGCTGTACTGTTTTGGGTATTACGGCTCTGTAGTTGATTTTTGAGACCAGAGAGTGCTATGCCACCCACTTCATTTTTGTTTTTCATAAGTGCCTTGCATACTTAGAGTCTCTTTCCAAATATACTTGCCAATTGTTTTTCCTATCTCTTTTTTAAAAAATGAGTTAGCTGTCTGTGTTGGCACTGCATTGAGCAGATTGAATGCTTTTGGAAGGACTGTCATTTTAACTATAACAGGAAACATTTTTCCATTTAGGTAGGTCTCTTATTGTTTCTCACAGTAATGTTTTTTTTTTATAAAGGTTCTTTGTGTCTCTAGTTTGATTTATTCCTAAGTTTTAAAATTTATATTTGGCTATTGTAAATAATACTGCTTTCTTAGTTTCCTTATCTGTGTTTTCTTTGTTACTGTAGAGAAATCCCCCCGATTTTTTTTTAGGGTAAAATAGTAATGATAAATTTATTAGAAATTTCTATCTTCAAAGGGCTAGACCTCTCTACATGAAAGGAGATATGACTGGCAGGCCCTACTTATTTTTTAATATTGATCTTAAATCCTCCAGCTCTATATAATTGGTCTACTAGGTATAACATTTTTCTGGTTGAATCCTTGGGGTTTTCTGTGTACACTAATATATCATCTGCATATAGCAACAATTTTATCATAATTGTCAATCTGAATGCCTCTGAATTCCTTCTCTGGTCATACTGCCCTAGCAAGTACTTTCAATACAATATTGAATAGGAGTGCTGAAAGTGGGCATTTTTTTTCTGGTCCCAGTTCACAAGGAGAATGTATTTAGTCATTTTACTGTTGAGAATGGTGTTGGATCTTGGTTTTTCATGTATACTTTTTCTTATGTTGCAGAAATTCCATTCTATTCCTATTTTGTTGAGTTCTTTAATCTGGAAAGGGTGCTGAATTTTGTCAAAAGCCTTTTCTGCATCAGTTGATAAGATCATGTGGTTCTTGTTCTTTGCTTTGCTAGTGTGATGAATTATGTTGATTGTTTTTCTTCTGTTGAACCATCCTTGCATACCTGTTATGAATCTCTCTTGGTTACGAAGAATTATTTTTCTGATGTACTATTGGATTCTATTGTCCAGAATTTTGTTATGTATTTTTGCATGTATATTCATGAGATATAAGGATCTATAGTTTTCTTTTTTGGCAGTGTCCTCACCTGTTTTTGATATTAGGATTATGCTTGCTTCAGAAAAAGACTCTGGAAGTGTTCCTTATTTTTCTATTTTTGAAATAATTTATGTAAAATTGCTGATAGTAAGTTTAGTAGAATTCAGCTGCAAAGCCATCTGGGCAAGAACTTTTTTTGGTGGGGAATCTTTTTATGACCTGCTCAATTTCTTCTTTTGTGATGGCCCTGTTCAACTGTTGAACATCTGTCCATATCAATCTGGGTGGGGTGTGAGTTTCAAGGAATATGTCCATTTCCTCTCAGTTTTCAAATATATCAGAGTATAGCTTTTCATAATATTCTATTATTGGTTTAATTTCATCTGGTTCTGTTGTGATGCCACTTCTGTCATTTTTAATTAGAGTTATTTATTTGTTTCTTCTCTTTTATTAAGTTTGCCAATTGTTTTGCTGACCTTTCTGAATAATCACTTCCTGATCTTGTTGATGATTTCACTTGTATTTCTCTCTTCTAGCCTTTGTCCTTACAATTTTCTTTCTTCTAGAGGCTGTGGCATAAGGTTGTTATTCTCTCTCTCTCTTTTTTTTTTTATGGAGATGTTGAGTTAGGTCATGAATTTTATTTCATTGCGGCCTGAAAAGATACTTACAATGTTTTTTAATTTGTTGGGGCTTGCTTTGTGCCCTAATATGTGATAGATTCTGGTGGATGTACCGTGTGCACTTGAGAAGAAAATATGTTGAGCTTTACTTGGGTGCAATGTCCTGAGTACATCCATAAGATCAAGTTGGTTGATTGTATAGTTTAGATCTGTTACATCTTTGTTTCAAGTTGACCTGTCTTTTGATGGTTGTAGTGTGTTGAAGTCTCCTATCACTATTGGGTTTTTGTCTAATTCTTTCTTCAATTCTGTAACTATTGTTACGTGTTTTGCAGGTCTATCATTAGGTGCATAAATATTGACCAAGGTTATGTCTTCTTGATCTGTTGTGCTTTTAATCAGTATGTTATGTCCTTCCTTATTCATTATGGTGGTTTTCATTCTGAAGCCCATTTTATCAGAGATTAGTATTGCTACTCCTTCTTTTTTGAAGTTGCCATTTACTTGTTGTATTTTTTTCCCTCAGGCTTTGATTTTGAGTCTGTCTTCCTCTTCATTTCTCAGATGTATCTCTTGTAGGCATGATATTGATGGAATTGTTTTTCTCCAGGTGGGTTGCAGGCTCTTCCTTCCCTGGCACCTGGTGAGCCTCATCTGGGAGGAAGTCTGTCACCTCATTGTGGCCTCCTCTCCTAAAGTCTGTTGTTGTTGGTGTTTGGCTAGTTCATCATCTACAGCAATTTCCCTCCAGGGGAGTTGCTCATTTCTTTTTATAAATTCCATTTTAAATTTCAGTACTTTAGTACTTTTCAATCACGAGATTAGATAATTTAATTGAAGAAAATATTTTAAAATATTCTCATAAACATGTTTGCAAAGACATAAAGACTGAAATAATATCCTTGATGATCTTTTTGATATATGAAAATATTTTTATTTTATTTTTTTAAAATTTTATTTTGTAGTAAGTAAAGTAAGAGTTGAAGACAAAGAAAAAAGAGGTGACTTAGAAAGAGATGAAGAGAGAGAAAGAAGATATCGAGAAAGAAAGGTATGTGAAACTCAAAGTCACATTTCCCAGATCCTGCAACAGTGAAGGACATTTAATCATTATTATTAAAAACACTTTTAGAACATTCCTTAAAACAGATTTTAAGGCCTAGTCATGATCTCAAGCACTATATATTGACATCTTCTTTTCCCTTTACAATCATATTTTGATTTTTCCTTTATTTCAAAGATACTGTTTTTTAGAAAATTTAGAAAGTACAATTAAATATTGAGAACAAAGCAAAAGCCACCGGATCCTCAGTCAGAGATACTATTAAAAATGTTGTTACTTAAATCCTGCCACCTGGTTTCTTTTTTTAATTTACTGACTGACTGACAGTATATATAAATAATTGTTGTTGTGTACTGTACAGTCAGAAACGACCCATAGCAGATCCTCTGGTGTGTTTTCAGAGGCAGTTAATTGTAGGGAAGGAGACTGCCCATCGTCTTCCCATGGAGCAGCTGGTGGATTTGAACCTTTTCCTTTGAGATTGCAGTGCAGCTTCTTGCCACTAGGCTGCCAGAGCTTGTTGTTGGTGTTTTGTGGGGCTTGTAGTGACCCTATGTTCAACAGCTCTGAACCCTGCTCTTTCTCTGACACACCTATCCCCATTACCCCAATCACTTAATCAGTCCATCTTATCGAGGGTCTTCCTCTCTTGCGCTGTCCTTCCACTCTCCCAAGCATGATGTCCTTCTCCAAGGACTGGTCCCTTCCTTGCAACATGCCCAAAGTATGTCAGATAACACCTCAGAATTTTGCTTCCAAGGAGCATCCTCTTTCACCTCCTCTAGGACGAACCTGTGTATTCTCCTAGCAGTCCATTCAATACTCTTCTCCAGCACCACAGCTCAAAGGCATCAGTTCTTCTGTCATCCCTAGTTATTGTTCAGCTTTCTGATGCATAGCAAGTTGTGAAAACTATGGCCTGTATCAGGCACACCTAAGTCTCCAGACTGACATTGTTGCTCTTTGGTACTTTGGAGAGGTCCCTGACCGAAGTCTTTCCCAGTATAATTTGTCTTTTGATTTCTTGGCTGCTGATACCAAGAAGTGTTGATTGTGGAACGAAGCACACTAAAGCTGTTAACAGTCTCAGTCTCTTCACCATCTATCATGATCCTGCCATTTGGCCCAGTGGTGAGAATCTTTGTTTTCTTGATGTTGAGCTTCAATCCCTATTTAAGGCTGTAGTCCTTGACCTTTTGCAGCAAGTGCTTCCTCAGTTTTAGCAAGGAGGGTTGTGTCATCTGCATAACACAGATTGTTGATGAGTCTTCCTCCAATCCTGATGCCCCATTCCTCCTCATAGAGCCTAGCCTTCTGGATGATCTTTTCTCCATTTAGATTGATAAGGTATGGAGATAGGACACATCCCTAGTGCACACCCTTCCCTGTTTTGAACCATGCAGTGTTTCCTTGCTCTGTTCTGAATATTGCCTCCTGGTCCAAGTGTAGGTTTCACAATCAAGTGTTCTGGGATTCCCATTATTTTTAGTTAGCCACATTTTGTTGTGATCACAGTCAAATACCTTATCATAGATATGTATGATGTTTATACATTGTGTATATATAATCTCCAGAGAAACAGAATATACATAGAGATGTGTCTAAGTATTCATATACGTGTGTTTTTAATCATATAATTATGTGTCATTTATACATTCTAGCCAACAAGATATTGTATTATTTAGACCTTGTATAAACATATATATATATTTGCTATTGAGGTGATTTTAGCTCATGAAAATCTCTTGTGCACTGTAGTAAATCTGTTTTCCGTAGGGTTTTCAATGGCAGTGGGGTTTTTTTGGTTTGTTTGTTGGTGGTGGTTTTTTTTCCACAAGTAGATTTCTAGGTCTTTCTTTTCAGATGCTTCTGGGTAGACTTGAGCATCCAGCCTTTCAGTTAACAACTACGTATGCTATTGTTTGCAGAACCTAGGTTCTGCCTCAGGAACACATTCTCAAGCCTTTTCAGCCTAGAGTGCAAATGTCCTGGATATTGGAAATCAGGCTGATATAAGTGGCAATGGTGAAGGGGTCCCATAGACACGCATAAAGCACTGAAATCATGTGTCACATTCAGGGACCAAAAAGAAATTTCCATTACGTAAATCCTGAAAAAAGAAGCTGAGTTGAAATGTGGAAGCTTGACACGTCCTACTGCATCTTAACATATTGTAGACTCGACAGGAGCTAACGACAGTAGCAGGCTTGATGCCGGAGATATAATTCACATTGCCAGAACTCTGTCCAAGGCATATTGAAGAAGAGACATCTCATCAAAAGAATGCACCTAAGATTCACCTCTATCAAGCTTCCTTAGACACAGTCAATCACCTGAAAGGAATGAGTACACAACACTGACAAAAAGAGAAGCACGATTATATCACCCAGGAAGAAGTCTGGAGAGGAGATTCTTTCTGGTTCCTGTCAAAGAATTCAGTATGGCAAATGAAAGCCACCTGCTACAGCATTCTCATTTGAAGGATGGCTAACCAAAGTAATTGTTAAGTGGCTTAAGAAAGTATTTGCCTGGCACTTGGAACATGAAATCTTATAATTACATATTATACATAAGCCATATGAGTATGTTATTGATGCTAAAGTGATATTTTCTGCTAGCTTGAAAGCACTGTTTTAAATGGCACATAAATCCAGAGATAATTAGATTTATATGCAGGTAATGTTTTTCCTTCTGGTTTTTTTTT